TAATTTTTATTTATTTTTGAGAGAAAGAGAATACAAGTGGTGGGGGGGAAGGGGGGCGGGTAGAGAGAAAGGGAGACACAGAATCTAAAGCGGGCTCCAAGCTGTCAGTGCAGAGCTTGAGTTGGGGCTCAAACTCACAAACCATGAGATCATGACCTGAGGCAAAGTCAGGCACTTAAATGACCAACTGAGCCATCCAGGTACCCTGGCCTAGGCTTTTAAACACAAGCTCCTGTACTGGAAAGGGCTCAGAGGCTCTGTAGCTAAGGAGCCATACTTAGCAGAGCTGATCCTGCCATTTACTGTGTGAACACTGGCAAATGACATATCTATGCACTGCAATTTTTTGTATTGACAGAATTGCTGTATAATAAAGTTAAATAAATTTAAACAGAATATAGTATGTAGACAGACCTAGCACAAAACAAGGCACTTAACTTGAGAAATGATACCAGAAAGGTATGGGGAGCTAGCAATTCCCAGTTTGAGAATGGTGTCATTTCACTCCCACTGTGAAAGTTTAAAACACCTGGGTATTTTTATGATTACAAGCACATACTTTCCTATTACTGAATTTTTTAAAAATATCTGCATCTGTTATTGTTTTAATGGCTGACAGAAACATTTTGCTTGGGGATGCAATCACATACAATTATCTTAAAGATTACCTGGGTGGTCTGTGCATATCCTTGAGTGGGCTGGGCGGTGTAAGCACTGTAGCTGTAAGAAAAATTAAATTCAAGAACTGAATACAGAACATTCAGATTCCATCACAAAATTCTCTATAACTCCAGGAGACTTGGTACTCTAAAAACAGTATAATCAATCACACCCAAAGTCCTGTTATAAAAGACTGACTTACCCCTGCTGGGCTGCAGCTTGGCTGTAGGTACTGTAATCTAGAGGAAACAAGGAGAGAAAATAGTGTCAAGTCAGCAGAGGCAAGGAAAAAGAAAAAAAGGGGTGAAGGAATTCAGGTGGCAGAGATAAATTCTTTAAATTGTTGAGAGGAAGTACAGGCTAATACAGGTTCCAATAAGTACCTCTTGCCTCTCAACATCAAACCAAAAAATAAGTCTAAGCCAGTTAAATTCAAAGTTTGAATATAGTGCCAGCTAATGAGGTCAAGATCAGCTGATTTGGCAGAGCTACTTTGAAGGTTCCCATGACCACAAACCCCATTTTCATTTCAAATACATGGATCATCAGCCTAAGACTAACAAAAAAACCCCAAGATGAACCAACAGGATCAGAAGTTTTACCTTCATATAAAAATGAAGCATGCCACAATATCACAATGTTTAACATCAGACTGGTTACATCAGTCACTACACCTCCTCAAAAACTAGTTTTTCTATCACTCCCTCACTTTAGCAAGTTAGACCAACCAAAATTCCCTAGCAGGACTGTGACATGGAATGGCAAAAAGGAGAGCCACCTCAATCCAGTGTTTTAAAGGCCTTCCTAAGTATATCAGGGTTACATGTGTACAGTTAAGTCAGAAGCTAGACACGACATAAATCCCAGCAGTTAAAAGTTTCAGAATCTGAAATGTGGCAGAGAAGAAAGCACGGGAGTAATTTGGTTTTAGGTAGTATCTTTTAAAAACTCAAAATGATTTCAATTCTAAAGAAAACAAACGAACCCACAACTTTCTTCTTTTCTCTTTCTACATAATCCTTCCCATAATTTTCCTTTTCATATGAAATTTACAACATGCACAGAAAGGAACTCTGGTTCACTGAGGTGTCTACAAGTAGTGAAAATAGAAAATAAAATGATTAAGAAGTTTTCACAGCACTACTGAATTTGACATATATTTTTAAAGTTAATTATTTTTGAAAATTCTGCCCAATGCTTTACTTTCCACAAGAAATACTTATCTTCTTCTATGCCAGAAGACAGTACTGCCATTAGTGCTAAACAAAAGGGTCCTTTATTTTCCAATCAGAAAGTAGCCCCTCATTTGAAAGCAACAGTGGACATCTATCTCAGCTCTTCACGGATGAGTTTCTATCTACCCCCACTCCATCCAAAGCCTGCCTCACAGTCCACCTGACCCCAAAGCATTTTGCTGAATCTCTCTTCAAGTAGGGTCACCTTTCTACCTCTCTACCTGTAACTACTTTCCTTCCTCTGTACAGCCTTAACACAGAATCCCAAATAATCAACATGATCAAATCAAATGTCCAAAGGCTTTGTATAATGAAATTGATTTGTTCAAGACAATCTTAAGGCATTTTCAAAAGCACAAGTCATGCTTCCTATGTAGTGCATAAAAAATAAATGCAAATCACTTCTTCCATGTGGTATTCACAAAACAAACGAAGCATCAAAAATAAAATATTTCAGTCTACGTTTTGTTGGTGTCTTATATGAGAAATTATTCTAAATTGCTGACATATAAGTTCAACTTTGCAAGAGGACTTTTACACAAGAACAGTTATGTAAAAACAGAAAACTGTCAAAGCTGATATGGAACAACGAATGATCTCAGATCAGCATGAAACCAGCCCATTTAGTCCCACACGGGTGGGCTAAGGGAGGTAGAAAATTTGTTTCCTGAGAACTTATTTACCTACAGCACACAAACATTTTATGGACTCAAAAATGTTAGTTACACAATGGTCAGATTTTTTTTAGCAGTCAGTTATACTTTGTTTTTAACCCTCACATGCGCAGCTGAAGACTCCACTAAAAATACAAGACAAGTTGAGGAGAAGGGAGCCTCCGGAGTGCTGGCAATGTTCTATTTCTTGGTCTGAATCGTGGTTACTTGGGAGTTTGCACTGTAATTCTTTGTTAAAGTGGACATCGACTTCACTTTTCTACCTATAACATACATGAGGGAAAAAAACCCACATCTTACATTACCCAAAGTAGTGACTTTCAGATACTTTAGGGTACTCACTATGCAAACAGAGATTTAGAGCTTCAGACTACATAAGGAGTTAAAAAGTCAATATGGAGTAATTTGTGGGAACCAAATATTCTATAAGGTCAAGAAGTTCAGGGCTCAAAAAGCACTGAAAAGATCTAGCCTCACTCCTTCATTGTGAACGTAAGGAAACCAAAGTCCATGATTTAAGATCCTCCAGCTGGCCTAATACTGTGTGTCTAACACAAAACGCAAGTGTAATTCTAATACAGTACATGGAGGTTTCCAAAAAACATTTTCAGCAAAGTAGACCAAGAAACTGGCATGTCCAGCCTCGCAAAAATTTGACCATACACATTTTGACTCCCCATGCTTAAAGAGGGAAGGGAGAATAGCACTCTCCCCTCACAAAATTTAAACACCGCCAAGGAAGAGGAAGGTGGAAAGGGCTCTGCAGAAACCACTTTCCACCAGGATGTGCCTTGGGCTGTGGTATTTCAGAGTCCTCTCATCTATGGGCACTCTGAACCCATAGCCAGCATTTACCTGCCTGTTTACTGATCACACAGCAGGGGAAGACTTAAAATTGTCCTTAAGTTGCTGGATTCTGGACCCCTTTCAAATTAAATCTCGGAAGGAACCAGAGCTTTTCCGGTCTTCCCTCGACTTCTACCACTGCTTCTAAGGCCTGGTGTTAGATGGCTTAAGAATACCCCCCCCCCCCGAGGCAAAAATGCCCCGGGCCCACTAAAACCGGTTAGTGTAATGGTAAACAGGGAATGGTGCAACCCTGCCGGTGATGTTATGAATAATAAGGCCAAGGGTTAAAACAAACTGAGTTTTATCAAAGACCACCTAGGGATTAAGACTCCTGAGCTCCCCCACCCCGGGCTTTCTTTCAAAGTCCAGCCTACGTCTCCCTTCCCTCTCTCGTATCAGTCCAAGAGATAAACAAGCCCGCCAGCTTAACCTAGTCGAATAAACGTGCGAGGCAACTGCTTAAGAATAATTCAAATGCCGACTTGGGCCTTTTGTTTCTCCTAGGTCAAAGAGGCCAGAATTTCCTTTCGGTAGGGATTTCTGGCCTCGCGATCCAGGCTGGTCTTATTATACAACGGATCTCCCTCGGCATTTGCTGAAAAATGGCCCCGGGAAGCCACTGAATTGCTTTTTGAGGAGAAAAGATAGTGGGATTAATAACAGTAAGAACGAAGCGGAGGGGGGGGGGTTTGCTCTGGAGGGGGAAGCACATTCCGCCCAAAGCCCAGTCGGGCAGAAGTTCGGTTTGGGGCTAGAACCCGCCGAGAGGGCAGCTCGGCTACACCGGACGCCCCTGCCGACCAGGCCATGACGGGGCGCCCGCTCATAGGTCGGCACCCCTCGGCTCACAAACCCGCGATGCCTTTTTTGTTTGTTTATTTGCTTTTCCCCCCGGGCTCCTCGGCGAAGCAGAGTTGCCCTCAAGCTTGGGCCGCCTCCCTAAAAATGGGGGTGGGGTGAGGAATCACAGAAGCGGCAGTGCTGCGACTTCTTGAGCAGCCGTCGAGACCTCCCCCCCGCCCGCGCTCCGGTTTAAGGGCGCCGGACTCGAGGCCTTGCCGAGCCCTACCCCCATCCCCACGCGGGGGCCCGGAGGCCTAAGGCCCCGCCCACGTGGCGAGCAGCCGGGAGCGCGGGACCCGACGGCCGCCATACAATGGAGACCACGGCAGGCCCCGCGCGCCCCCGCCGCCGCATGCACCCCGCGCGCCGGGGGCGCCGGAAGATTCCAGAACCGGCCTTCCCGGTGGGGGGAGGGGAGGAGAACTCGGGCCCTCGAGCTCGCCGGGCCCCGGAAGGTACCTCACACCCTTCTCCGCAACTCTATTTAGTCGTCTCGGCCACCCCCTGAGACAAGCGGCCTCACATTTGGGTGTCCCGACCGTCGCCGGCGCGACCGTGGTTTCACCACACTCACCCGTGGACGCCATTTTCTCTCCTTCCTTCTCGTTCTCTCAACGTCCGTCTCCCTCTCGCTTTCCCTCTAGGCGCCGCACTGCGCAGGCGCGAAACCCGCAACCTCGGGCGCTACCATCGGGCCAGGCCGCAGGGGTGAGGGAAGGAGGGATGAACCACAGCCTTCTCGTCCTTCTCGCCTGCAGCTCTTGTTCTAATGTTCTCTCAAAGGCGCTGGGCGTGACATGCGGGCCAAACTAGCGCCGAAGGGTCCGAAGCGGAGGGTGAGCGGGTCTTGGTATCAACCCGGAGTGATTCTCCGTGCAAAGCTAAGCTGTTCGGAATGGTTACGTCCGCTGGCTCTAGGGACCGTCTCTGAAGAGTCTGCCTTGGAGGGACGCGGAGGCCGGCGGGAGGGCTGGGGGAAGGGACCCGGGCCTAGAACAACTGCTGACTAATCGGCGGACGGCGGGGGACGGGAGGGCGGGGGAAGAGGTGGCGAGCCAGCCCGGCCGGGGTCACGCGCCCGAGTGCAAGCAGAATGGGCTCGGGGCTCTCAGACCTCTCCGGGAAACTAGAGTCCCGACTCCCAGCCGGGGCCCCACCTGGCATTCCGGGGGCGGGGGAGGGGGGGGAACGCGCTCTGCAGTGAGTACCCCGGACACGTGGCCTGGGCCGGAGGGGGGAGGGGGCCGAGGCGGGTGGGCTAGATCCTAAGAGCCCCCCCCACCAGTAACGGTCAACGTTGAGAGTGCCCTTTTAGTACCCCCCCCATCCAATACCCTTGTTTTTACAGAAGGGGAAACTGAGGCCCAAGGAATTTGTGTGCTTTTCCTAAGTCACAAAGCTGAGTCCGACCCACGCTCTGGGACTCCCACTTTATCGCTCGGAAGAATCTTCCCGGTTCTTGTCTTCTCATTGCGTCCTCCAGTCTTCCTAGTAAGGTAGGCAGGGTCTGATGGTGCACAGCCCCATTTTATCGATGAAGAGACTGAGGCCCAGAGGGTTCCAGTCCCAGTTCTGTTTGTCCGTGTGCAAGTCTTTCAGCCTTGTAAGGTGCCCTGGGTACAATGGTTGTGAAGGTGCAGAAGGAGGGAGGCTTGCAGTGGTTTTCTTGGCTCTGGGCAAGGCTGGCACCTGTCTGCCTTTCTGGACTCGGTCTAGTCTCCTCAAACGTGCTCAGGCCCGAGGAAGCGCAGGGCTCACCCAAATCTTTCAGCCGGACCTGGAAGCAAGCCGGTGTCTCTCTTTCAGTGAACACGTATGGGAAACTTGGGGATGAGTAAGAGGAGGGCACTCCCACCTGCCCCCTGTCCAGACCATCTGCTCAGGAAAAAAGACAGGCCAAGCTGTACTCACTAGATAGGATAAGATCTATGACCCATGACATGGCAGGCCAGGGCAAGAGACAGGGACATTTGAACTGGGCTTCAAGGGGTGTATAGGAGTTTGCCTATTGGAGAGCTGAAGGGAGGGACATTGCAGGCAGAGGAACTTTCTACATTCTTCCTGCAGGAAACTGGCAGGTGGGTTTTGATGCTGAGGTTGCTCTTGGGAAAGGAGCAGATGAAGCAGTCTTCTTGTCTCTGGGCTTTTGCTTTCTGCCTCGTGAGATCAGCTCACTGGGAGGCTCACTGGGAGGCTCCAGGCCTGGCTGGGGGTGAGAAGGTTTCAGCAAGGCCTGTGCCTTGTGGGCTGGGAGTTGGCTTTTTTGAGGGCCAGACTGAACCAGCCAGGCTGGAGCAGCTGCTTCTATGTTGAGGAGCCACCCCCCCTCCCGCCCCCCACCTCACTGGTGGCTAGTTATCTCTGCCTCCTCCCACAATTAGCTGGGATGGCTACAGTTTATTGAGCAGGAGCTGTGGGCTGGGCCCTGCCTTAGTCCATTTCTTTTTCTCACTGTATGAGGAAAGGATTTTCTTAATCCCCATTTTACAGATGAGGAAGGAGAGGCTCAGAGGATGGAAAACTTGTCCAGGGATGCATAGCAGGAAGGAGTGGAGGGGACACTGGAAGGAGGGCTAGGGCCAGAAGGGCTGTACTCATAGCTGAAGAAAGGGAATGTCTCTGTCTCTCTGCACTTAGGGTGTGGGACTCTTGCCCCTCCTCCAGCCCTTCTGCCTTAGCCCCTTCCGAATCTGCCTGCCGATTGGTTGGCCTCACCCTGTGTCAAGGGCAGCTGAGCCCCTCTAGAGCTCTAAGGCTGGGCACAGTGGAGGGGAGAAGGGAGAAAGGTGGCTGGTCTGCAACCCGAGGGAAGAGGGAGGCAGAGGAAAGCTGGAGATGACCCTTAGTTTGTCCTGGGGTGCTGCACCCCTTTTTTTGGGAGTCCAGAGCCCCAGATCAACTCACATCCCTTTTGGTCTAGCTCCTCACCATCCTCAGGCAGAAGGGATGGCAGGATAGCTAAGCACATGGTTAGGGTCTGAGCTCCTCTATGGTTGAGTTGCTGGACCTGCCTCTCCAGCTTCAGTTTCTACTTCTGTAAAATGGAGCCATTGGGAGGGTAGTTGAAAGGAAGTTGGGTAAAAATTGCAGTAATAACTATTGTTATTGTTTTCCTTTACTCCTAGCACACAGCCCCAAGACCACTCTTGACGCCTTCAGCCGTGCTATGCATGCCAGAGGTCCCCCTGGCCCACTGTCCCCGGCGCTGCCTCTTGCCTCCTCTGTCCTGATGCTGCTGCTGAGCTGCCTGTGGCTGGTGGGGGCTGGCCCCAGCCTTGCCCTGGCCCCAGAGCTGCTGCTGGACCCTTGGCAGGGTGAGAGCCAGCCCCATGGACCTTGGAAGAGGCAGGAGACTTAGGTAGGGCCTAAGACCAGTTCATAGGAGCGGCATGCATCATACACTGGTCAAGCAGAGAGAGGACCCAGTGCCCCCAGTGGCCTTGGACAGGAGCATGCCCAGCTCATCCACAGCCAAGAAGGGAGGGCGGAGCACCTAGGCAGAGGGGCCAGCAGAGCTGTGGGAGCCTGTGAGTAGGTATTCTTTTCAGATGGCTTCCTTTTTTGGTGGTTTTCTCTTAAAATAAGAACTAAGGCTTTCAGCTTAGTACAGGAATGTTCAGGAGGTCCTGGGAGTTTGAGGAGTGACCCCAGCTGAGTGTTTCCCATCAGACGTTAAGTGACTCATCCATAGTTGGGTTGCTCTTGAGAAGACTGAGTGGTGTCTCCAGCATGTTCGGTTAACACAGTAGGGGAGCAGCCGCAGCATTTAGAAGCTCTTGGTCCCCTTCATGAGTAATTACAGTGCTGGCAGTGGGCAGACTTTGGCTCCTGGGGAGAGGAGGCTGGCTTAGTGGGTATTCCGTAGAGGGTAACTACCACTCTGGGACAGCCTTGGGGGTTAGGGCCACTAACCTGGCACATAAGATCCTTTTCTCTCCCAGCACACCGTCTGCTGACCCACGTCCTGGGTCACACAGCCCTACCTGGCCTCCTCCTGAGCCTGCTGCTCCTGCCCACACTGGGCTGGTGGCAGGAGTGCCACCTGGGCACGCTGCGGTTCCTGCATGCCTCTGCCCTGCTCGCCCTGGCTGCCGGGCTAATGGGTGTGCTGCTGGCAGGCCTCGGGGTACCCAGCGCAGCTGGTGGCTGTGGCTACATGCCTGTCCACCTGGCCATGCTGGCGGGGCAGGGTTACCACCCTAGACAGCCCCAGGGGGTACTGCCACCGTGGCTGCTGCCGTGGCTGCTGCTTGCCTTGACACCAGTGCTCAGCTCCGAGCCACCCTTCCTGCAGCTATTGTGCGGCCTCCTTGCTGGCCTCGCCTGTATCCTTTGCCTGGGTCCAGGGCCCACGTGGACATGTGGGTTCTGTGGCTGGGCCTCCAGGCTGCCTGGGAGGGAAGCAGCACAAGGAGGTCAGGTCCTTGCAGGTCAGCTGTGCAAACACATTCCGGGAGCATCTGTGAGTCTTCTGGCCAGACTGGGCGGGGGTGGAGCTGAGGGCTAATGGCCAGGTAGAGGCACCAACTATAATATAAAGGGGAGCCCTCCCCTACGGAGGCGGCATCTGAGCTGAGATGTGCAGGATGAAGGGTTCAGGGCAAGTGAAAAAGAGCAGGCCAGGCAGAGGGTGCAGGAAGTGCAAGGCCAGGGTGAGAGTGAGCCCCGGGGCTCAGCACTGAAAGGTGTAACACAAGTGGCTGGCGGTGCAGGTGCATTGAACACAGGCTTTTGCTCCAAAGATCCTCCGTGCCCATTGGAGAAACCGTGCCTTTGGAGAGAACAGTGGGCACAGGCTTACCCGCTGTGGCTTTTTAGGACTGGGGACACCAGTTGCCCAGGCCTGGCTGTATCCTGCAGTGGGGAGTACGTTGCCCTGGCTGAGGGCAATGAGGGGGGTGTCACTGGGCACAAGGGTGGGCCTTGAGTCAGACCGGAGAGCTCTGGGAACAGAGCAGGCAGGGGATGCCGGAGACGAGGGGATAGAGCTTTTGTGGGGAGATACACCTGCCTCCCCCTCTTACTGGCTGAGTAGCTTCGGGCAGGTTCCTTTTCCTAGAGCTGCTGACTAGGATGACAACACACCCCTTGCTGGGCCATAGTGAGGAGATAGATGTGAGGGAATGCCTGTCACCACTTGGCCCAGGGCCTGGCATGCAGTGTGGGCTCACCCCTGCTGGTTTTGGTTTTCCTTGACCGGCCGCCCTGCCCCGGGCAGACAGATGCAGCCGGGGCCTTCCGGTGGCTGGAGCTCTCTGAGCAGCGGCTGCAAGCACTGCAGGAGGGCATCTTGTGCAGGGCCCTGGCAGAGTGCTGGCCGGTCAGACTCCTTCCTACCCCAGGCAGCCTGGCCGAGCTGCCGGTCACCCATCCTGCCGGAGTCAGGTGAGAGTGATGCCAAAGACGGCGGCCCCGCCGGTGTAATCCGCGGCAGTGCTGGCAGTCAGGCCCTCTTCTGCTTCTGCTTCTCCAGGCCTCCCGCCCCCGGACCTCTTTACACAGCCTCCCCTAGCCTCTGGTCCCGCAGTGAAGGCTCAGTTCACCTCCCGCCAGGCCTAGGGCCTGTGCAGCTGACCTGGGAGGGCTCCTCTGAGGTGGGCCTGGCCTGGACCGGGCCCGTCTTCTCCCCAGGGACCCCGCTGTGGGCAGCCCTGGATGAGCAGATGCTGCAGGAGGGGATCCAGGCCTCACTCCTTGAGGGGCCAGCCCAGTGTCCTGAGAGCCCGCTACGGCTGCCTAAGTCCTCTGTCTCCTCTCTGCGGTAAGGCGGTTGGGTGGGGGTGGGGTCCCCTGGTGCAGGGGCTGGAGGTGGCCCTGACATTCCCTCCCTGTCCCCCCATCCCACAGGTTGCAGCAGCTGGAGCGCATGGGCTTCCCCACAGAGCAGGCAGTGGTGGCGCTGGCAGCCACGGGCCGAGTGGAGGGTGCCGTGTCCCTGCTGGTTGAGGGGGAGGTGGGCACTGAGGCCTTAGTGACTCAGGGGAGGGGTGGACCCGCCCACCCTGAGGGCCCTGGTCCCCCCTAGCACATGCAGGCCCTTGGGTGACGAGGGGCTTGGCCTGTGGTTGGGGAGTCGGAGCCCCAGCCCTGTCTGCTGAGAGTCACAGTGTGGTGCAGGAGAGGCCCCTCTGGCACCCCACCCTGGCACCGTTCAGAATAAAAACAGTGCACTTTTCAACCTAGACCTCCTCAGGAGCAGCAGTTGTGTCTGACTCTTCTGTGTTGGCAGCAAGGGGGATGAATGAATGAGCGGGGAGGGACTGACTGACTTCAGGCGAACAGCTCCTTGATGTGCAGAGACCAAGGCTGAACTGCAGCCTCTTCCTGGGGAAGCTACACCCTCCACCTCGGGGCACAGAAGACCCTCTGCTGAGGAGCAATCTTGTTTCCCAGCTGATTTCTACCCAGCCTTGGGTCTCAGCCTACAGGAGACCTTCCTTCAGGAAACCTTCCCCAATTCCCCAGGAATATCATCCCTTTGCTGCCCACACCCTGACAGTGTCCCTGCTGGACAGGGGCCAGTTCAGTCAGTCTCCTGAGGCTCTGGATCTGGTGGCTGTGCCCTGCTGGGCTCCCTGCACAGGAAGCAATGTGGGGGTGCCATGAGGGTGAGAAGCTTCCTCAGCTTGGAAGAGGCAGCTCCTCCCTTTTGGCCCTCCTCAGTCCTTGACCCCTTCCCAGGAAGGGGAGGGGCAGACTGAGCCCGAGGGTGGAGGGTGGGGCCTGGGTGTGAGGCTGATGGGCTGTGGGGAGAGGTAAGGCCAGGGGCACCTGGGAAGCTGGACTTTGAGGGGTGATGCAGGGAACTGTGTGTCCTGGAGCAGCCTACAGACTAGTCGCCTGAGGGGGCTGTACCCCACGCTGGGGCCAGAGTAAAGGGGCTGTAGAGACCAGCCCTGCCGTTGGCCACAGGCAAGGGGCCAGAAACAGACTGGACAGCCTGAAGGTCATGCCGTCCTTTTATGGGTGAGGAAACAGTCTTTGGGGGGGATGCTGTGGGTCACCCAATCTGGAAGCTGCCCCAAGGTCTGGCAGTTTCTTGCTCCTTGGGCTTCTCAGAAGATGCAGCCATTGCCTAACACCTGGCCAGGGAATGGGGATGGTGTGAGCCTCTGCTCTGCTCACCTACCCCTGCGTGCCCCCCTGCCCAACAGCACCTTGACTGCCCTCACAGTCCTGCTTTGCATGTGGGCAGGGAAGGCCACCAAGAAGAGAGAAGAGGCTCCTGGCCCTGCCCAGCTGCACCCCATCTAAGCACACACCGAGACCAGGCCAGTGGGACATCAGGTTGGGTGCCTTTATTGGCTGGAGACCTCTTCCTCCAGGGTGCCCCTCCCTCTCCATGCCTCCGCCCCCACCTGGGACATGGGAGGGGCTGGGGGCTTAGGAGGCAGGACCTATGCAATGTCCTGCCTGTTGAGCTCAGGGTGGGGACCCAGCACCAGAAATCAAGGAGAGGAGGGCTGCGGTGGGCTCCCCGAAGTTTGGCTGGAGAGGAGGGAGAGGCAAGCCTGCCTTTCCCCACCAGCCCGTGTGTGCTAAGGGCCCAGAAGAACCCTAGCTCCAGCCACCCATCAGTGCCCACAGGCCTGGATGCCCGGGCAGCCCGTGAGAATACCGAAGCCTCCAACCTGCCACCCCTTCCCTGCAGGCTTGCACCATCCTATTTCACAGAGGGCAATGGAGGCCCAAGGCCCTGAGCAAGGTCTCACCTCTTGCCTGGGCTGCCCCTCCCTCTCAGGCCACAGTCCCTTCTCAGCTTCATAGTAGGCAGACTTGCACGGGGTGTCAGGACCAAGACTTGCCTATCCCAAAGGCCTAGGTGGCAGAAGGGACCCTGAGGACATTAATAAATATGCATGGGCGGTCCCTGGAGGCAGTTGGCCAAGTCCAGGCTAGGAAGGGAAGCCAGGCCAGGTCTGCCCCTAGGGCCGCCCCTGCTCTCAGCCTCTCTCGTTGCGGCTCCTGGGGGCCACGATCCGGTAGTTGGCCGCGTGTCCTCCCCTCTTGCCCCGCAGGAGGCTGGGGGTGCCTGTGCCGGCAGGGCCTGCCCCCGACCCCTCTGGTTCTGCCGGAGGGAAGGAGAGAGTCAGGGTTAGTGAGGTCTGTATGAGGTGCCCATCTCCCTTTGGCCCTCTGGGGGCTGGGGTGCTGGGCACTCTGCCCTGGCATCTGGGAGGCAGAGCTGTGAGAAAGGGTAGTTTGCAAGCTGATTAGTGTCTCCCCTTACCCCCTGGAGTTAGCAGCTCCCAGCCCAATGAGAGCACTCAAGGTTCTCTGATTTTCTCTGTCAAGGGGGGATAAATGAACCTGCCATATTTCTGAAACGTTTAGCACATAGTGAATGAATGATCCATACAAGTATAGTTCTTTTCCACACTTTGGAATATAGGTGAATCATCCTCATTTTGTAGCTGGGTAAACTAAGGTCAGGGAACAGACTCAGGCCACCTGTGATGGGGAAGAGTTTAGGAAGGCCAGGCTCTGCCATTGACCTGTGCAGCTTTGGGCAAGTCTAACCTCTGTCAGAGGCTCAGTTGTCTCATCTCTAAAACCAGGGGGGATAGTTCCAGAGTTCCAGATACACTGAGGTCCTGACCAGCTTCAATAATATCGAAATCAGTTCTGATTTGACTGTGGTGAAATATGCCCCAACCTGGAAATAAGGTATCCCCCAAGAGTGAAACAGTAATTGGCATTTTTGCCACCTGGAAAACTCATCCTTCAAAACCCAGAGGAAGGCCTATCTCCTCCAGGAAGTCTTCTGCCACTAACTTTAGTCCCTCTCTAAGTTAAACAAACAGGTCAGGTAGGTCAGGTTGGGCTATTTTCCCAGGGGAAGAGGAACATCCACGGAGCAGAGCCCTAGGATGGGGGACTTGGCTGAGCCTCCAAAGTCCTGTTTAAAGGGATGGACACTTGGACTCTGGTGAGCACCAGCATCCCATTGGGCCACTGCCAGGGGAATGGGCTATACCTTCATAATAATAACTGTCTAGCACCCTGACTCTGTGTGTCCCAGCCTCCCATGCACCTCTGGGCCGAAATTTGGGGCCTCTGGGACAGACCGATTTGTGTGTGCTCACAGTCAAGGGAGATTTGATGCCCTAAATCAGGGAGCATAGGAGGAGAGTAGCACAGAGCCCAGCCTCTAATATCAGCTAGGGCCAAGTCCTAAACCAAGTATAGAACCTCTGAGCCTCATCTGGAACATGGGGATAATACTGTGTCCCACCCTTGTGGTAAGTGTTTAAGGTACCCAGGAGTGGTTTTCATAATAAATGTTGGATTATTATGGTCACTAAATGTGTTTTTGACCCAGGTCTCCTGCAGGCCTGGTTACTGTTTGAGTTGCTCATGAGATGCTATTTTGACACAATCAAGTTCAGGGTCCTTGGTTTCCTCTGGCCCCACTCAATGCCTGGCAGAACAGAGGTGTCAGTGAACTTTTGTTGATGGAGCAAAAAGAGCCAGAGCTTTAAAGGACAGACCTACGGTGGACCCCTGGCCTTACCACTACTATCGCTATGACCCTGCGGAAATCATGTGAGCTCTCTGGACCTGTTTCTTCATCTGTGAAATGGGCGTGGCATTGCCCACTTGGCAAGCTTGTATTAGGGACTGGATATAAATCCCCCAGCCTGGGGGGCTGGATGTGTGACAGCTGTTACTCTCTCATTATTGATTATAGCCTAAACATGAGCCCTATCTGGGTCTTTAGTTAGCACCTGCTGTGTACGATGGATGAGGGGAAAGTTCCTTCTTCAATGCTCCCCTCCTCCCTCACCCCCTCTTCAGGCCCATCACCCAAGCTTGCTTATGGGGTCACTCCCCCAGGCTTGTGGCCACAGAGAGTGGGCGTGGGCTTTCTAAGGTGACCAGAACTCCCTCCCTGGGCTGCTGGATACAGTAGACTAAAGTGCGGGTATGGCTCCAAGGCTAGTGTGTCCCTTCTGGTTCCTGTCCCTATCCTCCTGAGAGAGGAGGTGCAGAGACACCTGAAAAAGGTGCTGAGAGCCTGGGATTTGGTCCTTGGTCCCAAATCTGTGAGAGGGGAGGAGGTCTGGGAGATGGTCACTGATGTTTCTAAAAGTTAGAGAAGCCATGTGGCAAGGTGAGAGGAGCTTGGGAAGCAGACCACACGCCCCTTGCACCTCCAGGTCTTTGTCCATGCAGGACTCTGTCAAGGCTGCCCTTTCTACCTTCTCGTAGGGATTTTCCATTACTCAGTGCAAGTGTCCCCATTCCAGGAAGGCTTCTCCAACCCATAGCCAGAAGTGACTGCCACTCACTCACATCCTTTGGTGCCCCTGTACCCCTTGGCCCTCATCTCTGTAGACACTGAGGATCCCCCATCACTTGATGGGCACAGAGCGTCCGCCCAGACCTGGCACTCAGTAGATGTGCCCTACAGTTTTGCTGAATGAAGGAGGCTTGGCTGTATCCTTAGCCCTCCTTCGTGCTTGGGGCCTCTGTTTCCTCATCTATAAAACAGATGCGAACTTGGACATGATTCTGAGGCCCATGTGCACTGATGTACTAGGACCAGGCTGTGATATGGGGTGGCTGGAGGTGGGAGAAGGATGGCTTATGGGGGCCTCTTAGTGGTTAGGTGAAGACCAGAGCTCAGCCCCGAGGGTGGCCAATCCCTGCCTCTCTTGAGGGCCACCCACAAGCTCCGTTTCATGGGGAGGGCCCTCCTTAGCCCCACCATGACAATCCAGGTGCAGGGAGGGGAGCTGCCCACTTGGTGTCTAACCTCCTTCCTTGCCTTCTACCTCCCTTCAAGAGCCTTCTCAAACTGGGCCCTGCCAGATTCTCTAGCTTCACCTATTGCTCTTTAGCAACCTCACAGAACCGGCCTCTTGGCTTTTGCTCATGCTGTTCCTGTGCCCATTTACTTGCCCCAATCCTTCCCCTTCAGGTCTCCACTTAGATGACACTTCCTCCAGGAAGCCCTCCCTGAGATGCCCTTCCCCACTCCCCAGCCTGGGTCAGGGGCACTTCTGTGCTGTCACAGTACTCACTCCACCGTGGTATTCCTTGCCCTGGGTCTAGCAGCCCGTACCAGGGCAACCCCCGTGTCCTTGCACCCTGTACTCCATGAGAGCAGGACTATGTCTGTCTAATCTGGGAGCCTGTGCCAGCAGGGTGTCAGGCACCATCTGCTGGCTGGCTGGAAGGACTAAAGGAGGAGTGTCTGCTGGCCTGGATCCAGCAGTGGGAGGTAACTTCTATGTCCCTAGGCCCTTCCTGGAAGGGACTGCCCCTACCTGCCCGCCCTGCCGTTACCTGGCCAGATGATGGCTTCCAGCAGGGTGACTCGTCTGGCCAGGAGCTCCAGCTGAGCCTGCTGCTGCAGGAAGCTCTGTAAGCTAGGAGCCTGATGGGAGATCAAGAAAAGCAGACGGTGCAAGTCGGGCCTCCAAGGGCTGGGCCGGGGTGCTGAGGGTGGGGTGTAGGGGCCAGGCCCCTGCCAGCTTCAAAGCAGGAGCCTGGGTGTGAGTCTCTATCGAGACCTCGGTCTCCCCCTCTAACTGGGGACAGGGCTTGCCTGGCTCCTCAAGTGATCAGATGGGTGGAGAAATTGGAGGGTGAGAGCCTGGGGTGATGGTCTGGCTCCCTCCAGCCCCCAAAGGGACCTGCAGGACACATTAGGAGGACCAGAGGAGGAACTGTAAGGGAGATACTTGGGGCCAGGAAGGCCTGCCCTGTGAGAACCTCTGGGGGCTCCTGGGGGAGGGGAGATCAGAACTGGTGGGTGGTATATTACCTGGAGTACCCCGGGGACTGAGCCTGGCTTCGTCACCCGCAGTCCCCACACTTCTGGAGTCTAGTTCCGTGACCTATTGTCCTGTGGGCTTGGGGACTGGCTCTCTTACCCATGACTTCTCTAGAGCTGAATGAAGCCTGGTTGGAGTCTGGATTTCTTACCCATAACCCTCCTGTGGGCCTGGGTTCTGACTTTATTACCCATGATCCCCTGCTCTTTTGCCATCTGGCTCTGTTACCCACAATCCCTTTCTGGTCTGGAGTTTGGCTCCACTGCCCCTAATTTCTTCGAAACTCAAAAACTGTCATCTCTGCTTTCCCTGCAGGCCTGGAAACCGCATTACTCACAATGCCCGGAGGCCCAGTCTGACCACAGAGGTGGGGGCCCAGGTTTCTAGGGCTCCCTTTCACCTGTCGAGGAGGAACCAGCCATTGAGGTATGGGTGGCCTTGTTCTCTCACGTCCTCACCTGCCTGGGGCAGGCACCTTCTCCAGCCTCATGACTGGGTCCAGGCAGCTCCACCCCTGGAGGGCCTGGGGAAGGCTGGTGGGTGGGGGCTGGGCTGTCTGTCCGTCTGTCTGTCTCTACTCACCATAGAGCCCAATCATTGTTTCCAAGATTAAAACCCTCTCAGCTAAAATCTTCAAAGCCTCGCGTAGTTGGTGCAACCCCTCCCCCTGCGGAGGAAAGAGACAGATGCAGCCGTGAAGGGGGCAAGGGAGGAGGTCCTGCAAAGCTCGTTGGTGGCCCATGCCCCACCCTGGACATGCACCTGCGGCCCCGCACCACCTGCCACAACCCAGGGTCCGCCGACAGCCAGGATAAGGCCGGGAGAGGATGGGGCAGGGAGGGGCAAGACAGGTGGAAGCGGCCCCCTCAGTAAGTCCTGATGGGTCCCAGCTGGCTGCTCTCTGCCCACACCCCTGCACATCTGCTGCACTGGGGGCAGGGCAGTGCCAGGCCACAGGGGCCGCACTGCCGTCCCAGAACCTGCCTCGGGGCCTGCCCTGGAGGTTGTCATGGGGCACCCCCAAATCTCTGTTGCCTGACACCTGCATGATTCCTGCCACATCCCTGGGCCACCTGTACTCTTGTTTACTTAATATTCTTTAAACTGACTCACTTTTTGTCTACATTAACATACTACATTAACCTCACTCTAATGAATTCCATCAATTCCACTCAGGCTCCCACTGATCTTCTTTCCATTAACATCAAAATGAATATAGGCAAGTAAAATTAGAAAATGCTTGAGTGGCATCACTTTTGGGAACTTGTGCTTAACGTGTTGGAGAAGCTAAGGCTCAGGCCCAGGTGTCCACTCCTCAGCCCTTCTCACTTTGGGCTCAATCCCTCCCCAGGCTCTGACTGTTCCAAGTCTGCATTCTGCATGTCCTGGAATCAGGCCCCCAGCCCCACCCTCCCTTCGAAGTAGCATCCCTAGGTCTGTAGCCCCCAGGCCCAGGGATGTGGCAGCGGGCCCCCAAAGCCCCTGCCCCAGGCCTCCCCACCCCGAGATATTGTCGGCTGCTACCCAGGGCTCAGGCCAGCCCTCACGTTCACTTCCAGTTTGTCTGTCTGTCCTTTCCTTCCCCAGCATGAGGTCCATGATCTGGCTGAAACTCCACACTCCCTCACTCCTTCCTCTTTCCTAATCCAGACTAAAGCTATTTCCGGAATGTTGATATCTTAATTCCAAAGGAGCACCCCAGGACAGCAAATAGAACTATTCCAGCCCTCACATATCTGGGAGTCTCTCTCAGTGTCCTTTACTTGGTTCAGATTAAGTGAAGGGATGGGGTAGCATATGCATATTGCCACGATTGAAATCCAACATCTAACAACCGAGAGACCTCCCAACGTGTCTGTGAGCCTGCTGTGGCCTTGCTGGGGCTGTCTGTTATAACCCAGCTGTCCTGTCCACATCACAAGGATTTGGATACTCTCAGGCCACTGACTGGACATTGCAGCCTAATGGTCAGAGTCACCCTTTCAAGTATTACAAGAGCAGGATCTAAAAATGGATGACCTTCAAAAATTATGTTAAGCCACTCCCAGCATGGACAGTGGGACAAGCTGACCTCACGAACCTCCTGATAAGATGTAATAAAGGGTACTGCAGCCCCCACCAATGCTCCTGCCAAGAGCATTTAACTGCATCTCGTCGCAAGGAAACAATCAGGCAAATCTTAGATAGATGGTGGGACACTCACAAAAAGACAAAGTCAAGAGAAAGAAGAAAAGGACAGGGACCGTTCTAGATGAAAAGACACTAGAGTTGTAACAACCAAATGCAATGCATGAATCCTGATGAGCTTAGATTAAAAAAAAAAAAAGCAAAAAAAAAAAAGGCATTTTGGGGACAACTGGTAAAATTTGTATGTAGGTTAAATGATACATCACTTTAGAGCATCATTTCACTGAATCAATTTCAGCTTTCTTAGGTGTGATTGTGGTATTGGAGCGTTTTGGGAGAATGTCCACACTCTTTTGAGATACACACTGATGTGTTAGGGAAAATACAGATGAGGTTTGCAACTTACTTTCAAATAGATTTTTTAAAGTCTGTAAATATAAGTAAAGAGAGAAAGAGCAAACGTGGCAAAATACTAGTAGTTGGTCTGGCTAGTGGAAGGCAGGAGGATATTCATTCTGGATTTTCCTGAACATTTGAAAATCTTCTAAATGAAAATTGGAGGAAAACACTAAAGCAACATTCCTGCTATTTGGATCCCTTCCAAGATGAGAGGCCTGTTGTTTGTACTGATAACACCCCAGTCGCCTCCAAACCCAGACTGAGTGTCCAGGGTCTGCCGGACACCCCGTACTCAGCTTTACGACAGATACCTCCCATTTTCCATGGGCAGAACCCCGGGCGGGGGGCTTCTTCTTCTTGTTCTTTTCTGTGAAAGCTGCCTTAACTTTTTGCTCCCCTTCACAGCCAAACCAGCACCAAGTTTCTGTTAGTCCACTGACATCCATGCATCCATCCTCACTGCCCTCCTTCCAGTTCCAGCTCCCAGGGTCTCTTGCCAGGATGGCCACAACAGACTCCTGCCTGCCGTCTCTCTTTCTGCTTCTCCCATCCATTCTCCGCAGGGCAGTCAGAGGAACGGTTTGCAAACAGAAATCTGACTGTGTCTCTTTCCTGCTGTTCAATACTTCAGTGACTCCCCACTGTCCACAGAACGAAGTTCAAATTCCTCAACATGGCCTAAGTCCTGCAAGGCTATTTGACCTCCGTCTCACCCCTTGACTGTCACACTGTACCATGCAAAGTATTTGCAGCTCCTTGGCTACCCCAGGCTCACTCCAGCCCCAAGGCCTTTGTTCATGATGTTCCGACTCCTCTACCTGAATACCCTTTGCTTGATTAATGCACCTTTCGGGCCTCAGCTCCCATCTCCTCCTTCAGAAGGCTAAATCCTCCCCCATCACAGCTGAGCTCCCTCTATCCTGTTGCTGCTGGTTACTGGTCTGTATCCCCCCCCCCCCCCCCCCTTCCCAAATCACATCTATGTCCACAGAACCCAGCCTGGGGCCTGGCACCCACCAAGGAAGGGCTGGTTTCCCAGGTCCTGGAAGCTGAAAATCCTGGGTTTCATTTCCAGCTCTGCCAATAATTTGCTCTGTGGAGTTAGGCCTCAGTTTTTCTTGTCTGAATAAGGGGTATGAGCTTTGGCTAGATGGGATGGCTCAGCCTACTCTGGGGCAGTGCCTGCACTTTATGCTCATGACCACTGGGTGTCACTGCCGAGCCGCAATCGGACTGTTGGCTCAGGTCTACCTGGGGGTGGTAGGTGGAGAGTGGCCCCTCAGGGCCCTTCCCCACACTGGGCCTCATCCCCATCTACCCCCCACAGAGCTGGTCCCCAAGTCCCCAAAGCCTCATGCTGACCCCAGCCCAGCAGGTCCCCCTCAGGCAGGCAGCAAGCAGGGGCAGAAGTACAGGTGGGAGTCAGGGAGGAAGGAGGATGGGCAGGGGCCCTGCTACCTTTTGGGCAGCCCCTCCTACAGGTGGTCCTGAGTTCAAGGCCTGGTTTGGGATAGTTCAGGCATCCATTCTCCTCCCACAATCTCCATGTATGGATAAAGCTGCATAACCTAATTCAGCTTCACTTCACCTCTCCTACCTCTCCTGGGCTGAGTAGAAAACATGTTCCTAGAGTGGAGGTGGCCAGTGACAGGCCCAGGGGAGGCAGAGGGCTGGGCTTATATGGGTCTACCTGACCCCCGGCCTGGCTCATGCACCTATTGGTAGTATGCTTAAGAGACTCTAGAGCCACTGGGGGATGAAGGGGGGTATGGGGAGTGGAGTGACAAGCAAGGGGCTGGGGGAGGTTTGCCGGAGAGGTAGCAGGGCCCCAGAAGTCATGGGAAGACATGGGGAAGGGCTCGTGCGGGGTGAGGGGCTCCCACGGCTGTATCCATCACTGACCCCACAATCAGGAGCAGAGAGGGCAAGGCAGGCGCTGGGTGCATCCCATGTCTTCGTTAACTAGTGCCTGCTGGAAAGCAGGGCACCCCAGCCAGACTGCATCCAGACGGGGTTGGGGGAAAGGGAGGCACGATACCAGTCTCCTAAAGAGCTTCCCAGTTTTCTCTCCTGTAGGGGTGTCTGCCTCCACCCTGTCCATTTTCCAAACGTCTATGTCACAATGGTTTCCAGGTTCTTGCATTGTGGGCTTTTGGTCCTCTCCCCATGTATCTTGGGTGGGTCAATTTCTAGGCCTGGGAATTCATTCACTGCAACCATCACCAATGATTGTAAAGGTCTCTAGGACCCCACCTGTGGTTTCCAAGTCTCCTTTCTCATACATGCTATGTCTCCTGTGTATGTGACAGTTTCTAGGCCTTCCTTCTCAATCTTCCTGGACTTCCTTTGTGCACAGTGATTTTTAGATCACCCCATCTCATTTTCCATGTTTCTCCCATGCATGATAGTCCTGTCATTGCACTCCCCCTGTCCTTGCACTCCCCCTGAGTCTCCTATGTATGTGATGGTGTCTAGGACCTCATGTTAATTACAGGTCTTTTGAGAATAGTGAAGTCTAGGTCCCCTGACCTCATTTACCATGTACCATGTATACATAATGGCTTCTAGGCCTCCCTTCCTGTGCTCCATGGATTTCCTATGTATACGGTGGTATCTAGGTCCCCTGTCCCTTTAACCATAGGGCCTTCACCATTCCTATGCCTCCCTTCCTATGCTTCACAGATTTCTCAAGACCTCTGTCCCATTCTTTTGTGTGGATATTGTCTTCACACCTCCCTTTCTTCTGCAGACAAAGGAGCAGAAGCCAAAGCCCTTGCTGGGAAGGGACTATGAGGCAGAGGATGCAGTCTGGACTGGGTCAGCCCAAACCACCCAGGCGGAACAGGCAGGGTCACCCTGGCTTGGAAAGGCCACAGAGGGAAGGCGGAGACAGGGACAAAGACAGAGACAGAGAGCATGGGGTCTGCTGATAAGGCTGGCCCTGTCCGGTTGGGAAGGACAGGATTGGGAGGGGGCTAGAGCTGAGATCTGTCAAGCCTCCTTCCTAGGAGACCAGGTTACAGTGGGGATTTGGATGAGGTGTCCCCACTGCTAATGATCTCCTGAGAGCCCAGGGCAGGAAGGGCAGTGGGAGGCCAGTGCTCGGCTGGAGCTTACCCAGTGGCTCTTCTCACCAGGGTCTCCTTTGGGGCCAGGTTCTCCCTGCAAGGAGAGATAGAGGTAGAAGCAATGAGAGAGGGAAGGAGGGAGGGAGAGTGGGAAAAGGAAGGAGGGGAGGAGAGGGGGAAAGAGGGGGAAAGAGGGAAGGAGAGACTGGAAGAAGCTAGAAGGCTGAGAGAGACAGAGAGTGGCTTGTATGGGACTAACACTAGATTAAATGC